CCCCAATGTTAGGTAGGGGTTGAAGCCACTAGGCAAGTACTCCATCACTGAGCCACACACCAAGTCCTATCACAGTTTCCAGCCCAGGCAGGCTTGACCTCGCAGCCCTCCTCCCCATCGCTGGCCCGAGTCACCAGACCTGGCCTTCCACTGCTTTCTTTCACTTCCATCACTTCCTCAGTTTTTGAGACAGTCTTTCCTATATAGCTATAGCTGGCCTGGAACTCGCGCTGTAGACCAGGCTGGCCTCAAACTCAGAGATCCTCCTGCCTCTGTCTCCCAAGAGCTGGGATTACAGGCACGTGAGATTATACCTTTTTCTTTCTTCTTTTTGAATCATTGTAGCACAGGCCGGCCCTCCACCTCACTGTGTAGGAAAGTATGACCATGAACTCGTGATCTTGCCTCTGCCTCCCCAGTGCTGTCATTAAGATGTGTGACACCATACCTAGCTTTGGCTCCATTTTGAAATCATAACCAGAAATCTCTTCAGAACTAGCCTAGGAAGGAAATGTGAAACTCACATAGGCAGAGCTTCTTAGAGAGTGGCATAACTTTAATCTCAGCACTCAGGAGGCAGAGGCTGGAGCAGCTCTGTGAGTTCAAAGCCTGCCTGGTCTACAGTGTGAGCTCCAGGACAGCCAGGAGCACATAGACTTAATCTCAAAAACCAAACAAGTACACTACCATGCCCACTTTCAGAGGACGGAGGCAAAGGCAACAAATGGGCTTTAACTTTGGGTCCAGTAGACCAGGACAATGGTTTTCTATGTGTGACAGCACATCGGCCTTTGAAGTTAGTGGTACTACAGGTCAATGGTCACTTGAATACTTAATGTGATGGGGCTCCTCCCAATTAGAATTGGCATAAGTGACCTTGACTTATTTTTGTGATTCATTTTATAGTCAATAACATATTTATCGGTTTATAGTATTCTTGCACTAAACACAACTTAAATTTGAAAATAATATAAAATGAAAATCAAAACACACAGGATGTGGTGGCTTACACCTGTTCTTTTGTCCTTTTGGCACTTAGGAGCCTGTGGCAGATGGCCCCTCATGAGTTTGAGAACAGCCTAAACCACACAGTGAATTTCACGGTAGTCTATGCTGCAGACTGAAACTGTCTCTATGCACACACTTTTTAAAATTTTTTTTGAGACAGAGTCCCATGTGGTCCAGGCTGGCCTCAAACTCACTATGCAATGCAGGCTGGCTTGAAGTCCAGACCCTCCTATATCCATTTCCCAAGTGTGGGATCGCCGGTGTGCACCATTACAGCCAGCTAAATGAAAACATCTTTAAAGGCCAATGTACTATACGATGAACTAGCTCAAGAATTCATCCGGATGCAGGTCCCTTCAGGATCTGAAGATGCCTGAGAATCATCAATAGACAGAAAGCTCAATTTGGAAAGGCTCAATAAAAAGGCAAAAGCATCAGAAAAAAGCCCAGTATGTAAATGCAAAAACCTGATATAAATATAGAGGAAATATGGCTCGGTGGTAGAATGCTTACACACACACACGGCAGATGAGAGAACCTGAGGCCAAATGACTGTCAAACAGGGATCAAGAAGTAGCATTTCTGATTTTTAATCACTGGCTTTCTCCATCCTCTTACACTGCTCCTGAGGGTACCCGAGAAAAGCTAGGAAGCCTGTGTGATGCTGCATGCCTATAAGCTTATTATCCAGGAAGCTGAAGCAGGATTCAGGGCTAACCTGTGCTACAAAGCAAGACTCTGTCTCAATAAAACAAAAGAAGCCTGAGAGGTGGTTCAGTGGAAGAACACTGTCTAGTATGCCCAATACTTTAGGGCATTAACGGCTACGATCATAATTCTAATTTACCATAAATTCAGCTGTGAATGCACCAAAGGACTGGAAGGTGATACAAAAGCGCTAACCACTTGCTAAAAGGGCAGTTACGAACACATTTTACATTCGCCATGTTGGTGGTTCATTCCTTTCCAATAAAAAGGCATTTTAAACGGGGACCTGAATAAAGGTTATGTATTTAGGAGTCATGGCCCCAGGCATCCTGTCCTCACTGCCTAAGCTGCTGTGTGTGTTGATGAAGATGAGCAGCAATCTTGGAGAAGATAAAGGACATATTCTAGGACCCAGAAGGTCCTCCTTGTTTAGGTCAGCCCGAGAACTCTGTGGATGGATGTGCTACTAACTGAGTCAGGTTTATTCACTCGTGCACACATTCATCCACTCATCCACACACTTTTTAAACCACCACTAGATGGAAAAAAAATTGTCTTGAAGCTTTTAAAGACTTATACTGGCCCAGGGCCTAAGTTTTGAGCAACCTCTGTAACACTATGTAAGTGAAAAAAGCAAGCTTCAGAACATGACGTAAAGAATGCTACTGTTTGTATTAAAAATAGATATATAAATATACATATTAATAAACTCATAAATGCATAGAATTGCTCTGAAAAGATACACAAGATAGAGATAACAATGAGGAACTCTGGTGAGGGCACTGGAGGCTAACCTCCATCAGGAAGTTTACTTTTTATTGTATATTCATTTGTATTGTCAAATGCCTTGTGGTTTTGAATGTGTATGTATCTTTTTTTCCAAACAAAAAAAAAATTTTTTTTTAGTTACCTGGTGCTAAATGTACAATGGTGAACAGGACAGAAGTTCCTCAGCCTGGGGCAAGGCAAAATGTAGAATTCTAGGGGCCATAACACAACCATCAAGTTTTTAAAACCCAGACTGTTTTATATAAGAGGCAATTTTTTTTTTTTTACAACAATTAATCCATGGCAATTCGGCATATCATTTTACAAAGACAAAGCAGTTAAAGAATAAATACGAGTCATTTGTCAAGCCTCAGTGTAGTCAGATGGTAATTTCTAACTTGGTCAGGAGAGCATTCACTGCAGCAGGGAAATAAATACCTGTTACAGCAAGCATCCTCAGATGACAAACAATAGTGCATTAAAGAACACGATGAGATCAGGAGATACTGACTGAGGAACTGTGTGTTCCCCGGGAGAGTTAGGTACCCTCTTCCAGACAGTGCTCCAGAAATGATGGGTTTCAGATGGCAGAGTAAACCCCAGTGAGCACGCACATCAGGGACACTGCATATGCAAACGCAGGGCCCTCCTTGGGGTGACAAGGCACTGGTGGACTCCATGGAGAATCTGACGCTAGGGGTGCTCGGAACTGGTTAAGGGCAGCAAGAACTCAGGCTGTGGCTCAGGCTTCCCATAGCAGTTCCTGGTTTCCCACTTCAAGATGCTGGATCTGGCATGAGGACAGCACTCCACCCTTAGCTTCTCCACCTCCTGTGTTCCAGCTCCCGTGATTTCTGAGTGGGAAGAAGTGCAGCCACACAGCTCAAACTGGAGAGCAGAAGGGTGGGCTCTGGATGGCTCCACACCACTGACGGGCTGGCAGCAGCCAGAGCAGCCCTGTCACTAAGGCAGCACAGGGGCTGACAGGTTTGACTCAGCACCATCAGCATAGGTGGCCTACGGTATCTGTCATTTAACCTGAGGCCATTTTCTTCTCTGTCAAATAGAAGGAGAACTGAGAGCCTTGGGAGAATTAAAGTCTCTGGTAAGAGTTAAACAAGACACTGGGCATGATCAGGACTGGAAATGCTAACTTCATCATCACTGAATAATGGAGAGGCATACAGGCCAAGCCTTAACTGATAATCCACATTGTGAGCAGCAGATGAGAGATGCGCCAGCCCCCAGGTCCAGAAGCACAGAACCCCCATATCCACAGGCTATTCTGGAAACTAGGGAGTGCTTGCACACTCATGATCTCATCCAAGTCTTTAAAGAGCTGGATGGGGATTCCTAGTTCTGCTCTGAGGGGGAGGAGCCTGTGAGGACGAGGTGTGCCAGAAACTGTTTAAGAGCAGCAAGAGCTCAGGCCATGGCTCAGCACTCCAAGCAGCTGGATCTGGCATGAGGACAGTCGCTCCACAGTTTCTCCACTTTCTGTGTTCCAGCTCCCATGGTTTCTGAGTGGGAGGAAGTGCAGCCACACAGCTCAAAGCCCTCTAGCTACCTCCTTAAGAACCTGCTCTCATGAATGATGGGGGAAGGGGGTGTGCAGAGGCTCCCTGCAATGGGGATTAGCATGAGGTGAAAGATTGATAGGATCTCAAGAGAAACCAGAGTAGGTGATGGAATTGGGAAAGGGACAATGGTTAGCTCCAGGCCTGCTCAACAGGGCTGGCTTCTCTCACTGGCAGCCGGGGAAGCAGGAAGGTGGAGGTCTTGCCAGGAAGAATGCTCATTAAAATGGTACGGACAGCAGAGCGTCTCTGAATCTGAGGCAAGCACTAACTGTTTCCATTAGCCTTTCACTAAAAATTTGGCATTTGATAGAAAAGGGAAAAAGTCCTCGATTGTGAAAAGGTCATGCATATTTATCCAATTGGATTCCTAATTAGTGTCATGCCTCCCTTGAAAGATCAAGTCTAAGAACTCAGCCAGTACCCCCTCCCTGTGCTGCACAGGATCCTGGTGGGCCTAACCCAGGCCAGTTGGGTCAGAGAACACCTTCCCACAACCTGTTCCTTGTGCTCAGGCAGGCCCCACCTCTCATCTAATCTCAATTCTATCAAGTCTGAGTTTGCTGTGGCAGTGGCAATTGTCTCTGAATGCTGTATGAACATCACAGAGTTCCTTCTCTACACCCCTCACCAAGAATCTCTTGGTTGAAAACCCTCTGACAGAAAGATACCCAGAGAATATCAAGAGGCCTTAAGGTCAAGGCAACTAGACCAGAGTCCTTGAGGTGGCTCTTGACCACTACTCACACCCCTGCTCCCTTGCTCCAGAGAAATCTCCAGAGAACCAAGACCCCTGGTTTTCCAAACAGAAGCTCCAGAATTTAGAGCTTCCAGGAAACACTCTTCCTTCAGATAAGGCAGTCAGGGCTGTCTGGGAAGAGCCTCAGGTGGAGCAGGGAAGGGCTAGCTCACCCAAAGAGAATTACAAGAGCCTACCTGCATGATAAGATTTTTTTTTTTTTTTTATTGAAATATGGTCTGAGCAACAAGAATGTAGCTGAGAGGAGGAGGGCTGGCCTACCTGAGGCAGCAGCCTCCCTAATGGCACAGGAGCAAGAATACAAACATCCCAATGTCTGTGTGTCCACACCCCGCCTGTCAGGGGTTGCAGGACAGCAGCAGAAGGAAGACCCGGCACAGACCCCACAGAGGGTCTGGCTCTTGGCACCTGCCTGCCTTAACCATACTTCATGTTTTCCTCAGTTCCACATAGGAGTGTACTGCCATTTCTCCCACCCACAGAGACATGATCAGTGTGACAGGAGAAGTCCTCAGGATGTTTCTGGGGAAAAGAATCAAAAAAAGACAGGAAGGAAAGGCCGAGCAAGGGACCTCACCAAGCCAGGCTGGGCTTGAGTTCCCAGAGGAACGGCCAGCACCCTTCATTCCCCTCCTTTGTGGGCTCTGAAGGCAGGAAGGAGAGCTGGTGTCTGCAGGGAAATAGAACTCTGAGGTGTCTCCAACTGAACACAGCAGGTAGGGAGCCCAGAGCACAGCTACTGAGAAGTTGCAAGCTGAGTTGACAGCACTGGGGTTGCACTACCTAAGGAGCCTGGGGATGGAAAGACGTGAATGAGAATTGGAGTACAAGAAGCAGCATTAAGCCATAAATAACAGAAACAAATTCAGAGCTATGAGGGATTCTGGGTGACCCCACATTTTCTGGGGCTGGGAGACAGCCAGAACCTACAGCTCAGAACAGACACTGTTCCAGAGCACAGTGGCCACACAAACACTGGGGCAGAGCTTTTTATTTCCCACAGTCTGCACAGCAGGTGGAGGGCACGACAGCCTGACGGATGGCTACAAGGCCTCTGGTCACACCTGAGGAGATAGTGCATGGCTGTTCTGGTCCTGAGAGGCCTGTGGTTGATTCTGAGGGGCTTGGGCACTGTATTCGTCCAGAGTCAGGCCTAGCGACCTCCTTGGCTTTAGGTCAGCCACCAAAGGGTCACTGGCACATTCTTCCAGTCCATTCTCTCTAGTCTCCATGGCCACCTCCTCTGCAGAGCATGCCTCTGGGTCTGTGGCTTCCACCTTCACTTCCACAATCTCTTCTTCCTCCTCTTCCTCCTCCTGGTCTCTCACTTTGTGGACTATGAACAGGTGGCGGTTGAGGGAACTAGCAGACGTGTAGCACAGGCCACAGAGGAGACACTGGGCTGTGGAGCTGTCCACCTGGTGCTGAGGTATGTGGCTCTGGAATTCGAGCTCTGAGTCTGTGGCAAAGCTGCACTTTGCACACTGAAATACGGACCTGTGCCTTTTGGTAGAGGGAACAGTTGCGCCATTGCTAGTGCCTGGAGCGTCTGCTACTCTGCTGACTGCTCTTTTCAGATGGTTCACCTGAAAGAGAAAACAGTGTGAGCAGAGATGAGGCCAGCTCAGATGTACCTTCTGCTCATGAGGGAGAGCACACCTGTGCCATGGAATTCATGTGGAGGTCAGGAGACAACTTTTGGGAGTCATTTTTCTCCCTCTACTGTGGGTTCCAGGGATGGCCCAAGTTGTTTTCTAGATTTTTATTAGATTTATTACTTTTCTCTCACGAGTGAGTATTTTGCCTGCACGTGTGTGTATGTACCATGTGCACGCTTGCTGCCTGAGAAGGTCAGAAGGGGGGAAGCAGATTCTCTGGGACTGCATTTATAGGCAGTTGTGAACCACCATGTGCATGCTAAGAATCAAATTTGGGTCTTTGCCCACAGTAACAAAGTGTAAGCTACAATAAAGTCCTTCCTCTCCAAACTCTTCTTGGCCTTGATCATAGCAACAGAGAGAAAACTGGGAAGGCTGGGTCTCACAGCTCCTCCAGGAAAACACCTTATGCATGTTTTTAAAGACTGTGGGATAACTGCCTGCCACGGCTTACGCTCACTTCTCTCAGCTTGCACTTACACTCAATAACATATGCTGGAGACTACCTCCATGTGAGCAAGCAAAAGCCTCACTCTTCTAGTGGCTGCACGCTAACCCATTGCAGGCAGACAGCTTCCTCCACAGACAGTCTAGTTCCACCTTTGTCACTGAGGCAGACATCACCAAACACATTGCTTTATGCCTAAGGTGCAAAGCTCTCTACCCGAAGTCCTAGAAGCAGAACAGCTGTGTCAAAGGGCATGCGCATGCATTTAAGGGAAGGGAGACTGCATAGTTCTCATGTACTTGTGGTGACCAAAAAACACAAAGAAAGAAACTGACACGCTACCTACTTTGTGTGCAAAGGTTTCTGCCAACTAGCACCATTCCCTGAATAACCAAAAATATTTCTAGGCAGCTCATGACTTCAGGCAGCTCTCAGACCTACCCGAGTCCTCCTCAGAGCATTTGGCCTTATGCTATGGTGAGGGAAGAATCCGCAGCAGAGGGGCAATTAGGATGGTCTAGAAACTCACCAGAAATGGGACAGGAGCGTGTGACAGCAATGAGGGAAGAAAGCAAGGGGCCAGGAGAGGGGGTTCTAGACCCGATCCCTCCCCAGCTAGTGCAACAGGGAAGTAATGATCTTTTGCTGACAAGCTAGCTCTGCCTGCCTGCCTCACAGGATTTCAAGGAAGCAGAAGTAAGGTTACAGCAACAAATGACTGATGGGCTTTCCCATGGATCTTTGCTCCTGTCTCCTCCTCCATGTGTCCAGTGTCCTCAGGAGACATACAAAAACAGTGACCACATGTAGGTTACTCAGCTTGCTTGGTGGTCACAACTTCTGATGGATCCCTGAAGCCGCTCCTACGCCTTTCCAGTCCCAGGCCTCTCTGGGCTGCCAGTTCAAGGCAGTGATCCCACACTCACCTGAGGGGAATGTCCACCTGGTTGTATGACTTTGGACGTCTGGCTCAAATCAGGGTTTCTGATACCGTGCATAAGGCTGATGTGGCTCTCTAGCAGAGAGGGTCGAGGAAAGCTGGGGCTATCCTCAGTGCAGTACCTGCAAGAGCATGGTTGAGGAGGTGGTTCAAACCCCAGGTTCCTCCATTGTTCCTTAAGAGTACCAGGACAGAAATCTATTTGAGCAGGTAGACTTGCTAATCAAACCAGCAGGACGGCTAAGGGAGCAGACAGCAGCAGGTCAGGCTACTTATATACTTGACACTAAGCCCTCATCCCAACACCAGCCAGAGGGCCCAAGACTGGGCCAGCGGTCAATAAGAAAGGCCAGAACACTGACATCCGTCATATCACCATCTCTACTCTCAAACATTAGGCCCATTTTTCTCAAACTGAGAAAAGCCAGGGCTGGAGATTGAGAGGAAATTATCAAGAGCTGCCAGGCCCTGTAAGCTGGCTCCTGACTTGCCTGATTCCTCACTTAGCTGGTGTTTTCCTGCTAGAAACTCATCACTCTCTTGCTGTAGGCCCCTGCTCTCAGCACAGCAGAGCCCCTGATGCCACAGGCAAATTCTTTTGAGTCTCAGGCATTTTCCCTTCCCTTCCAGACTCACCCACAAGTGTAGACCTTTTTTACTGTGTCGTGGTTGTTGCGTATGTGTTTGCGCAGGCTGCTGGGAGTGTGGAAGGACTGTTCACACTGCCGGCATGGGTACCGCTTCAGTGTCTAAGGGAAGAGGAGACAATCCCAAAGCATCAGAATCCTAAGTTCTGGGTGCATCTTTCTTTTTAGATGATATGACCAGAAAGGGGGATAGCCTTAAACCTTACGGTCTATCGTACCCACCCTGCCCCAAACACCAGGAGCCTGCAGTTAGCCACATGAGAGGATCCTAGCCTCACAGGACAGAAGCCCAAGAGCTCCAGTGCTGCGCTGTGGCATGTGGCCACACTTACCCGACCATGGCTCTTTTTCATGTGGGACACATAGCTCTCTCTATCAGGGACCCACTCCTGGCACTCTTGGCAGGTCCAACCAGTGTTCCTCATCCGTGGCCTTGCTTCAGTTCTGCGGTGGGCTTCTGGCCGGCCCCAGCGGCCAGCAGTCAGCGAGCTGCCTCTAGCAGCTCCACTTGTGGCTGGAGGCTCAGTGGCAGCACGAGAAGCAGGGCGGCTAGAAGCCGTGTCCGCTGAAGACTGGAGGCTTGACAGCTCATCCACGTTCCGGGGAACACCGTGGGTACTCTGGGGTGGGGAGAGAGATTACTGACTGGGCAAGGAGAAGACACATCTCTGACATCACATTTTTTCCCAAGCTTCTCTCCCAAGCTTCCTCACCTTGACGTGCTGCATTAATTCTGGCTTCTGCAGAAACAGGAGTGGGCACTCAGGGCACTTGAAGACAGCCGCTTGTGTCTTGCTGACATTCTGGTAAAAATGCTGTTGGATATGCCTCTTCTTATTGAAGACCATTTCACAGGAGCACTTATAAATTAGCCTGACAAAACAAGCCCCGGAGGAGTAAGGCAACCAGGGCTCTGCCAGCAGACTCAAACAGCCCCTCTCCCCTGTCTCTGCTGGCTCTGCAGCAGGGTGAGAGGCTTGGGGAGACACTAGCCTGAGCCAGTGCGCATCTTTTCCTGCCTGGATATCGTCAGGACACTGAACACATCTCTCCACAGCCTCAGCTCCCCAGCCCGTCCTTATGCTACCCTGACGGCGTCCAGGCCACCCTCTCTGCCCCGGAGGACCTGCCAATCCTGCTGCTGCACTCACTGGGAGGGTCTGTGGGGCTGGGTGGGGTGCTGGGTGGTACTGTGGTCCATCGTACTACTGGCAGTCTTGAAGGCCATGGGACAGAATGCACATTTGTGGAAAACCTGGCAGTGTCGCTCCTGGATGTGGCTTTTCAGCAAGGCCAAAGTCAGGTGGATGACACCACAATGGATGCACCTGGACAACAAAAGTGAGGGAGTGTTAGGCCCAGGCTGATGCTGGAAGAGGGACAGAAGGCAAGAAGTGAGCCATATTGGGCTCCTCTTCCTCATTCCAGCCCATAGGCTACAGCCTCTGCACAAAGACTCCTTGAGCCCAAGGTCATGCCTAGGAGAGAAGCAAGGAGAATCCTCAACTATCCCCAAATTGGCTAACCTTCCAACCAAAATTTTGAGAGCCTTGGGAGAGAAGCTGATAGGAAGAGAGGAAGGAAATGGTTAAACACTGACACAAATGCTCTCAACTGAAAGGGGGCAACTGCAGAACTATAAGGGGAGCCAGGCAGGGTGGCTCACACCTGTGATCCCAGCACTCAGGGAGGCAGTGGCAGGTGAGTGCAAGGCCAGCCTGCTCTACAGAGTGAGTCCAGGACAGCCAAGGCTACACAGAGAGACCCTATTAAGAAACAAAGGAAGGAGGGGAAGGGGAAGGGGAAAAGGAAGAAAGAAGGGGAGGAAGAGGAAGGCGGCAGCACTGTTAGCTGCAATGCAACGTGGCTGTTAAAATCTATTTATTTATTTATTTATTTATTTATTTATTTATTTATTTATTTGCCCCTCCCCCCCTCCGAGACAGGGTTTTTCTCCATGTAGCCCTACCTCTCCTGGCTGTTAAATTTTAAGTTAACGAAATTACATTACAAATTTAGTTCCAGGCCAGCAAGATGGTTTTTGCTGCCAAACTTGATGACCTGAGTTCAGTTCTCAGAACCCAAATGGCAGGAAACTACCAACTCCAAAATGTTGTCCATAGGCCTCCACACACACATACCATAGCACGCCAAACACAAAGTAAAATCAACTCCTGGCACACAAAAGTTCTTTCATCATATAACCACATTTTAAAAAAGGAAAACAGTTTTATAATCATGTGTTGTGCACCATGTAAAGTTTTGGAAGAAATCAGTATATAATATTTAATTTTGTCTATTATCAGCAGTAAGAAAACAATATACTCTTTAAATAGTGTAATCTTGCTTTCTTATAATATTATTGACCACATTTCAAATTATTTTTAAAAAGACAGATTAAGTTTTAAAATTCTAAAACATTTGAGGAAGAGAAGGCAGAAAGAATATCAGACAGCTAGAGAGATGGCTCTACACTTAAGTGCTCTTTCAGAGGACAGTGTCTGATTCCTAGCACCAAATGGTAACTAACAACCATCTATAAACTCTAGTTCCAGGGGATCTGACACCCTCTTCCGGCCTCTGTGCATAGCAGGCATGCACATGGTTCACAGACATACATGCAGACAAACACCCTTAATAAATAGAATTAATCTAAAAAACTACATTTTAAAAGAGAGAATCCCAGAGTTGAAAAATAGGGAAAGGGGCTGTGAAATGTCACCTTCTGAGCAAGACAGCCACTGCCACCAGGAACTCACAGCATCAGGCACTGGTAGTTGGGTCTGCTCCTCTAAGGTGTGGCGGGAGGAAAGGGGTGGGGGACATAGCCCTCACTACTGAACTACTTGTTACTCAGAAACTCAGGGAGAGGGGAAGCCTTTGCCTCCAGCTGGATAGTGGTGACTTCACCAGAACCAATGGATAGTTCCAATCCCATGCTCAAACAGATGACCCTGGCGAAACTAAACAGGTCACAGACTGAAACCAAGTCATGTGATTCTGGAAAAGAGACTGGTAAGAATAGGGCAGATAAGCTGATAGATACAGGAGAAAAGGCTGGGCAGTGGTGGTGCACACCTTTAGTCCTAGCACTCAGGAGGCAGAGGCAGGCAGATCTCTGATTGTAGAGCCACCTTGGTCTACAGAGTGAGTTCCAGGACAGCCGGGACTACACAGAGAAACCCTGTCTTTTATATTTATGGTTGCGAGCCTAGCCTTTAATGGCTGAGCCATCTCTCCAGCCCGAGAGACTCTGTCTCAACAAACCAGAAAAGATAAAGGAGAAATGGGATAAAAGGGGAAATTAATTAAAATACATACATATATACATGAAATTATTAAAAGAATAAAATACATCAAAATCTTAATTTCCTAAAACACGTAATATATATGTACAATTTACATAAAATTCATATAAATTATGTAATATATACATACAATGTACAAGCTTATTAGCATTCTCCTTAAAAAAAAAAACCAGAAAGAATAAAAAATATAAACTAATATTCTAAAACTCTGTAGTAGTACTCAGTAAAATGAAGCACAGTTATATTTTTGGAAATTATTAAATAGCATTAGGACAAGAGAATGGGAAAAAATATCTGCAAATCATGTATATAACAAGGAACTTAGTAACAAATGTTGGCAAAAATAACAAGATGAAAACCTCACACTATGTAGGAATTTAAACAGTACAGCTGCTTTGAATAACAGTCTGTCAGCGCTTCAGAGATTTAACCAGAGTTAGGATTTGGCATTCCTATTTACTCCTGTGTGTTCACTCAAAAGAATGGAAGCGGAGGTGTGCGGCTGACCCCTGCAACACCAGCCACATAGGAGGCCCAGGGCAGGCAGATTGCCATGGGTTTGAAGCCAGCTTGGGTTACATAGTGAGTTATAGTTCCATTTGAGCTACATACAGAAATCCTATTTCAAAACAAACAAAAACTGCTGAGCATAGTGGCACACACCTTTAATCCCAGCACTGTTGAGGCAGAGGCAGGCAGATCTCTGTGTCTGAAGCTAGCCTGATCTACAGAGTGAGTTCTAGGATAGCCAAGATTACAGAGAGACCCTGTCTGAAAAACCAACCAACCAACCAAACTTTACAAAATGAATGAATGAATGAATGAATGAATGAATGAATGAATGAATGAATGATAAAGTGGGCTTGAGGGATGGCTCAGTGTTTAAGAGCACTTGCTGCTTTTCCAGAAGTCTCAAGCTCAGTTCCTAGCACTCACATTAGCACCCAAGGAAACTCCCAACCACCTACAACTCCAGCCCCAAGGGCTTTGGTGCCTTTTTCTGGCATCTGCACACACCTAGACACACATATGTAAATATTAATAACAGTATATCTTTTTGTAAACTGGTAATAGTTGAGGAACTTAAACCTTTATTGGCATGTCCCTAAGCCTTGAGCATTTACTGTTACTCTTCTCAGAACACTATGTTTTATACAGCATTCTGCATAAAAAGTTTTGATAACATAATTGCTTTTAACACATTCTTTCTTTCAATTCTTTTTCTTTCATTTATTTATTTGTTTGTTTTTGGGTTTTTCGAAACAGGGTTTCTCCGTGTAGCCTTGGCTGTTCTGGAACTCATTCTCTAGATCAGGCTGTCCTAGAACTCAGAGATCCGCCTGCCTCCCAAGTGCTGGAATTAAAGGCACATACCACTACTGCCTGGCTTTCTTTTATTTCTTAAAGAAAGCAAAATAAGTATTAATTAAAACAAAAAAGTTTTCCCAGCACTCTGGGAGGTAGAGGCAGGCGCATCTTTGAGTTTGAGGCCAGCCTGGTCTACCAAGTGAGTCAAGAACAGCCACGGCTACACAGAGAAACCTTGTCTAAAAAATGAAACAGAACAAAAAACCAAAATAACAACAAAATAAATTTACCAGGTGCATGCCCAGGGTCTTAGCACTCAGAGACCTAAAGTAAGAAGAGTATAAGCTTGAGGCTGTGAGCCAATCTGTGCAGTTGGGAATTTCTAGAACTGATGATTCAAAAACAGACTGAGGCATCCCTGTGGAAGAACACCTGACTAGCAGCCGAGGCCTTGGGTTAAATCCCTAGAATTAGGGGAGAAAAGATTTAAAAAAGCAGTGCTGAGTGTGGTTGCACACACCTTTAGTCTCAGCGCTTGGGAGGTAGAAGCAGAGGCAGGCAGATCTCTGAGAGTTCAAGGCCAGCCTGGTCTACATAGCAAGTTCCAGGACAGCCAGAGCCATATAATGAGACCCTGTCTCAAAACAACAACAAAAAACTAAGATGAAAGAAAAAAAACACATTCCCCCTAAATATTTTAGTATTGACTGAATTGCTTTTAGATTGGATTTGATCTTAGAATAAACTTACGTCAAAGTTTAAAAGGTTCTGGGAATGTTTATTTCGTTTATTATTTTAAAAAAATGATTTTTCCCTTTTCTTCTCCCTCTACCCCAATCCCCAGACAGGGTCTCTCTGTGTAGCCCTGGCTGTCCTGGAGCTCCATCTGTAGACCAAGCTGGCCTGGAACTCACAGAAATGTGCCTGCCCCTGCCTCACAAGTGCAGGGTTAATGGTGTATGCCACCACCACCCAGCACAGGTTTTATTCTTAATTATGGTTATATTTATGGATTTATGTGTCTGTGTATGTGTTTGTGCATCTACGTTCAGTGTCTATAGCGCCAGAAGAGGGAGTCAGATCTCCTGCAGCTCAAGTTTTAGGTGGCTGTTGGCTGCCCATTGTGGATGCTAGGAACCAATCTCGGATCCTCTAAGAGCAGCATGTGCGCTTACGTGCTGAGCCATTTCTTGGAGAGGGCCAGGATTCTGTTCCCAGCACACACATAGTAGGAGAGACTGATTCCTACAAGCTGTTCTCTGGCCTCCACAGGCACACTGGCATACACTCTCCCTCACAAACACAAAAGGGATGACCAGTGATAAGCACTTGTGTGAAAAAGGCCTACCTTATAAGAGATACGCTCTCTTAGCCTTTGGCTTGAAAGTCTTCTAATATCCCTGTGGTGGTATGGATGAGAAGGGCTACCACAGGCTCGTTTGAATGTTTGGTCCCCAGTTAGTACAAGTGTTTGGGAAGCATTAGGTAGTGTGACCTTGTTGGGAGTAGCTATGGCCTTGTTAGATGTATGTGTCACCCCTTTGAGGTTTTAAAAGTCCAAGCCAGGCCCAGTCTCTCTGCTGGAACTTGCAGAGCAGATGTGAACACTGAGCGACTGCTCCAGTGTTATGTCTGCCAGCCCCCACACTCCCTGCCAGGATGACTCACCCTCAGAAATTGTAAGCAACCCCCCAATTAAATGCTTCTTCTACAAGTTAACTTGGTCATGGTGTTTCATCACAGCAATAGAACAGTAACTACGACAATCTTCTTTCAGAAACTTTCCTGACCATTCCGTTCTGAGTTATAATTACTGTGTGTGAGAGAGAGAAAGAGAGAGAAGAAGGGTGGGATACAGAAAGAGAGAGAGAGAGAGAGAGAGAGAGAGAGGTGACCTTGAACTTCTATAGCAAAAGGTACAGGCAGTTGTGATGTGAATACAGGGAACAGAACTCAATTCCTGCTCAAGAGCAGTTAGTGCTCTTAGCCAGAACTACAGAGGTCCTCTGGGATCAAAGGCATGCACCACCACTGCCTAGCTTTGAACTTTTTTTGGTTTGTTTGTTTGTTTCTAGACAAGGTTTCTCTGTGTACCCTTGACTGTCCTGGACTAGCCTTATAGACCAGGCTGGCCTTGAACTCAGAGATCCACCTGTCTCCCTAAGTGCTGGGATTATAGGTGTGAGCCACCATGTCTGGCTATTTATTTTTATTTATATATGTAAGGAGGTTTTGTCTGTGTATATGACTACGAATCATGTGTGTCCAGTACTATGGAAGCTAGAAGAGAGTATTAGATCTCCTGGGACGAGAGTTTGAGAGAACTGTTAGCTGCCATGTCGGTGCTGAGAACTGAACCCAGGTCCCCTGAAAGAACAGCCAGAGCTCTTAACTGCTACCCTATTCCTCCAACTTCTGCCCTTAGTTCCTCTTAATCTTCACGCCTCTACTCCTGGGATTTGAGATTATAATCAAGTGCCTCCAATGGGCACTGGCAAGGTGGGCACGATACTGTCACTTATAACCCCAGGATCTGGCTAAGGCTGGGTGGTTGTGAATCTGAAGCTTGTATAACACGGAGGACTAGTCCAACGTGGGCTACATAAAGAAACAAAAATTAAAAAGTGAAAATGCCAGATGTGGTTGCACACGCACACAGTGAGCATGTCCATGCATGCGGGTGTGTGTGTGCTCATATGCGCACAGTCAGGAAGCAGGGGAGGGAGGGTGCCATTTTAGGTCAGCCAGGGCTATAGAGTAAGACAGGCAAAAACAAACAAGCAAACAAAAACATGGAGGAGGGGCTTAGATTACAAAGTGACTAAAGACAAAATGACAAAACACACTCTTCCCCTCTGAGGCTATCCCGGTGATATCTTATTTTATTTCTGTGTTTTGCGAGCGTTAAAAGCTTCTTTTTAGGTGATAGGCGGTGTGTGGCGCCTTCCTCTACCGGCACCCACAGTTTGCAATGCTGCTACTCCAGGTAGGAAGCTTGCCCTGAGGACCCACCATCTTTGCTTCTAAGTGCTGCGATTCCAAGTGGCTACCACGCCTGCCTGGCTTTTGTGTGGGTTCTGGGGATCCAAAGTCCAGACCTCACACTTGCTCTACTGAACCAGTTTTGTCTATGTATTTTAAGAAATGATCTCCTGTGGTATGGGCTAGCTTTGAATTTGCTGAGCATCCAAGGATGACCATGAGCACCTGATCTTCCTGCCTCTACCTCCCAAATTCCAGGATTACAAGAATGTGCCACCACTTGTGGGTTTAATATTTAACTTTTTTTTCCTCTTTTTTTGAGACAGGGTTTTTCTATGTAGCCCTGGCTGTCCTGGAGCTCATTTTGCAGACCAGACTGGCCTTGAACTCAGAGATCTGACTACCTCTCCCCTGAGTGCTGGGATTAAAGGTGTGCACCACCACACCTTTAACTTTTTTAAAACCCATTTTTTTTTTCTCTCTTGCCCTTTCTTTCCTCTCTAAAACAAAAATGTCTGCCCACCCACCAGCCGACACCACTTTTGTTTGTTTTTTGAAACAGGGTCTCAGGTAGCCCAGGCTGGCCTTAAACTGCTGACCTTCCTGTCTCTACCTTCCCGTCTCTACCTCTACGGGGATAACGGCTATGTACTGCTATCATGCCCAGTTTTGTTTTGTTTTGTTTTGTTTTGAAATATGGCACTAAGGATCAGATCCAAGCATGCTAGGCAAACACTCTAGCAACTCAACTGTATCTCATGCCCACTAGTCACATGCTTGTCCTATTCGGCTGTGTGTATGGGGCATTTATGTGGTGTGCATGTGTCACTACGTGGGCATGTAAAAGTATGGAGAAAAACAAGCTCAGGTGTCAATCTACATTGAGATAGGGTCTCTTTGTTGTTCACTGTTGTGTATACCAAGCTACCTTGCTGCAAGCTTCCAGGGTTTCTCCTATCTCTACCCACTGCACCATAAAAGCATTGGAATTATAAACACATGCCACTATGACAAATTTTACAGACGTTTTGGGAATTCGAACCTAGCTCCTCACTCTTGTGTGACTGTAAGCCATCTCCCCATTAACCTACTGAAGAAAGAAAGAAAGAAAGAAAGAAAGAAAGAAAGAAAGAAAGAAAG